CCCCAAAACCCCAAAACCCCAAAACCCCAAAACCCCAAAACCCCAAAACCCCTTTCAGGTATGATTTATGTGAAAGTAAAGTAAAAATAATTAAGATTAAATGAATTTTTATCAAATAACCTCGCAGACAAGAGAAGCTAAACCTAATCATCAATTGATGTCTTGGTTAAACTATTTCACTGAAGAGCTTTCTAGCGTTCCTTTAGGCCCTCCTTCAATGAAATATTGAGATGGTAAGTTCAGAAAGTATATTATTGTTCTCATCCGAACTCCTTTAAAGATTGCTTATAAAATTCACCTAACCGAAAGTTCTTTGTAAGATGTATATAAGCTTTGAGCTTTTAGATAATGTCTTTGATAAATTTATTAGGCGTGTTAATCCACAACCTGAAGCTTCAAAATTAAGGTTTTATGAGATCATAAATTTGCAATCCTACCCTTTCAAGATTAACATTTTTTCTTCAAACAATGAAATTCTAGCGTTATATACTAATAAATATAATTTAGAGCTCAAACTAGGAGTTGGCTTTGATTTCAAGATGCCCTCTTCTTTCTTCAAAGAAAATTTCATTTCTCCAGAAAAAGATGTCACTTTAAGACATATTATAAAAGGAGAAAAATTGATGGTTGCCGAAGAGACTGAGAGCCCGAAGAAAGAATCAAGCAAGAACTCTTCCCCTAGCTCTCATAGAACCTCAGATGCTAGTGAAAAGACTTCGAGCAAACTCGAAAATTTAGAGGGTACTTCTGGTTTTCTTAGCCCAGTAAGATTAATAACAAAGTTCCCTAAAGATGCTACCGAGCCAAATAATTCACCTGAAAGAAAAACAGTCATGAAGGATGAAGCTAAGACTAGCCTTAGAGGTATGACCATAAAACCTTCTTTCAGTTGTTATATTTTATTTCTTTTATCTTTGGTCTATATAAATATGCTAATTTTATTTAGAAGGTACTCTCAGGTCCAAATATTATAAGAAAGTTAGCCCGCCCAAGAACAACAAATCAGTAAATGCACAGAGAGAGGATGTAATATTTAAGATCTTGCTGAGGTCTGTAAAGAGGTTCTATTGCCAAGAATGCTGAAACAACAATAACCTTATCTATACTCAAGGAAAAGAGGAAGAAGAGCCTATCTTTATTAAAATTGATGAAATCTGAAAGCAAAGATTTACAAAGTACTTCTCTGAAGAAGAAATCTCTCGGTCTCATCCATTGACGATACTGCATGATCCAAAATTTTCAGTTTACTCTAATAAATCACTTTATTTTGAGTTGAAACTGATGATTGCTTGATTAGCTGTGAGACTGATCATGAAGAAGTATGTCAGTAAGTGAAGCCTCAAAAGAATACATACCAAGTATTATGACTTGATTTCAAAGTTCTCAAGAAGCCGGCTAACCAGCATTCTTAAGGTGAAATCCTTTCAGATAATTTTTGAAGAATTCTTTACTTCAGAAGAATTTAGAATAATGCTGGAGACTGATGAATCTCTATCGAAAAATAAAGAAATCTATGAGGAGAAATCAGAGAGGCTAATCCAGATTCTTAAAAGATCATAATTTATATACTTTCAGTACGACATAGTTCATAAGGGGTTTTGGGGTTTTGGGGTTTTGGGGTTTTGGGG